ATGCATTATCTGTGAAATTCACAAGGGCAGCTTCTCCACACCAGACCAGGAAGTGACCCTTAAATTTGGTTTATCTTCACCTTTTCTGTGTGTATGTGTCTTTCTCAGATTTTCAACGTTTGTGCATGGGCTTTAATGAGTTACTATATAATATGATTTAGTGCTGTTTGAGAAAACAATTTCCATCTGTTCATATATTGTTAAAAAGTAATGGTTTCTTATTTTTAAAAAGTCTAATTCATCCTTTCTCCCTCTGCACAAATGCTAAATCTCAGACCCTTTGAGGTCCAACATAATTTAAGTGCTAATTCCTTTCAAGCTACTGCACTCACTATGCAGATTTCATTAAGCCTCGTAGTCTCTTCATATTGATGTGTCTGAAAAAGCAAAGCAACTCCTGCTGTATATTAAAACATTTTGCTCAGGGGTAATGTCTTTTGTCACCATTTCTGAATATTTATTTATTTATTTATTTATTTATTTATTTGGTCCTCAGGAAAATAAATAGAGGACTGTAGAAAATAAAAGAGGCCATATATTCACTGAGTTCCTCGTCTCATTTGTGCGAAACATCTGCTTATTATAATTTGCAGGGCTCCCATTTCAGGGTTTGCAGTCTTGAGTGGTTTCTGTCTTAAATCTTTCTGCGCTGGGACACAATAATGAGGGCAGCACCAGGAAGGAAAGAGATGGACCCAAACACAGGAAAAGATGAAATAAAAGCACAAGCCCATCTCCCTATTGCCAATATTTCTATTTCTAATATATTCATTATGGAAGCCAACATGTTATTTCAATGATTATGATATTAAAAACCATTTTATTCTGGAACTTTTTTAGAACAAGCATCTGCATCAGTAGAAAAAAAAAACCTTGTTTTATTTTAAGGTTAAACATTTTAAGGAATAGTGGCATGTTGGTGACTCGTCAAACTAGGCCATTGTAAGTAGAAACACTGAAATAGTTGAAGTATGTAATTGGTGCTTAAATATGGAAATAAAGACCTGGATCCTAGTTCAGACTCTTGTCATTTGCTTGCTTTATGATGTCTGACATTTTACTTAACTGCTTTAATCATCAATGTCTTTATCTGTAAAATGGGAATAATGTCAATGAAGTATTAAAGGATTAAATGAATAACCAGAGTTTAAATCTTGTCCTTATCACTTCTAACCCTTCATATCTTTTGTATGTCAATAAAATTTTTAGCACGATTGGCACAGCTCCCTGGAGTTCTGGAGCACTGGTACTTGCAAAGACAGCCTGGTCAAATAGTGCATGTCATAGAGCTAGTAACTAAAAAGTATGATTATAGAGGAAGTGCCTAGAATGTCAAGACAGCGACTTTAAATAAAATGCCTATTTGGCATTTGTATGCAGGGCTATTTCAGAAAGACACAAATACACAAAATAAAAATATTTCACTGAAGACATGCTGTCGTGCTATCAAATTAAATGGAGTTTCTAACAAAAGGATACATCTCTTTAGGTTATAGATCAGGATCATACTGTTTATATTGTTCAACCCACAACAGCTATGGGCATTTTTAAGGTAGCTATAGAAATACTGACTATCTTTACCCAGGAAAAATAATTTTGGGGGCCAGCGAGATAGCTCAGTGGACTGAGCACCTGCTTAGGCAAGCACAGGGACCAGAGTTCAATCCCCAGCAGTGCCAGCCCCACTCCCAGGTGGGCTGAACTGGTCACAGAGTCTGGGCGTGGTGGTGCATGCCCATAATCCCAGCACTGGGAAGGCTACAAACAGGAGGATCACTATGAATCTGAGCTGCCTAGTGAGACCCTGTACCAAATACATTTTAAAAAGGGAGAGAATTATGCCAAACCTCCTGTATCATTCTAGAATATCCTAGTAAACAAAGATTGCAGTTGTCATAGTGCCTGCCTCAGGCCTCTTCCACCTTTCAGAGCAAGGAAGCAGGTAGTGAGCATGTGGAGGTATTTTCTGATGAAGGAGATTATCTGGCCACATATGAACTAGAGTGTGCCTAAGGAGAGTCACCTAGAGAGAAAACATTCTCTCAGTCTTTCACAAAGAGCAAATTGGTTAAGCAATGGCTGTGACTCATCCACATGGCTGACACTGACAAAAGATCTACAACCTGCTGTACATGGTTTCAGGGTAAATCCTGAGGGGATTTGACTGACCTTGTCAGATACATAAGTTACATTTTTTATTTTATAGGTCTTGCTTTATCTTGGTCTTAACCATCCAGCAGGAAAGTATAGACACAAGGTATAAAAAGTAAAGCCATATTAATATGCTGATCTGTAAAAGGCTCAAGTCAACAACTTCTGACATTGCCAGTCCTGAGAATAACCCACTACTATTATGGTCTACTGGAATAAATTGGATTATTTTGCTGAATTCATGCACCTACAATATTTGAATAGCAATGGAATACCCATCTCTGACAAAAGTAAAAAAAAGGGGGATATAAATGAAGGACCATTTTATAGTGAAAAAAATATATATCTGTATATATTAAATTAGGTTAAATATGCAGCTACTTTCTTTTAGTTCAATGGGAAGAAAGATTTGTACTAATACTGTTTAGACAAGATATCATGTCTCCATGTTGTACTATGAATGACTACTATGAAGACAATATGCAGTGTATTAATTATTGTAACTGTCCTACTAACCTGTTTTGAAATTGTCTCATTGCTACTTCTTTCTCAATAAAATGAATTAAAAAATAAAAAACCAAAAGCTCCAGCAATATATGCACACCTGTGTTCATAGGGGCACAGCTTGTGATCGCCACATGGCCTAAATGCCATCAGCTGCTGAGCAGAGAAGGGTGGGGTTTGTATACAATAGGGTAATACTCTTCCATAAAGAAGGGTGAGGTTGAGATAGCCCCAGGTAAATGGATACTCCTGGAGGCCCTACTCTGGTGTGAGAAATCAAAAATATAAGTAAGGACTAAAATATATACTATGTATTGTGAAATAGGACAAGAATATTCAGATGGGGAGGGGAACAAGGAGGGAGGAGAGAAATAGGAAAGAAGAGAAAAGTTAAAAAATGAAAAAAGAAAATCAAAACAAATGCTTTATAAATGAGGAGGGGAGGAAGGGCTGAGAAGAGGATAAGAGCATGGGAAAAAAGAATCAAGTTATATCATGTACAGGTACAACTTCTCTCTGATGAATGTGATTATTTTGTATATCTCAAATGTGCCATTTCAATCTGAGGAAAGAAAAGAGAAAAGAAAAGAAAGGGCTGAGGATATAGCTCAGTGGTGAGTGAGTTGCCCTTAAAAATTATCATTAGTAACTATAGTTACCATGCTATATAGCAAATGTCTTAAACTTGTTCCTATATAAAAAAGTCTTGTTCTTGGGAGGCTGAAAACAAGAGAATCACCATGAGTCTGATCTATGTAGTGAGACCCTGTAGACCCTGTACTAAATACAAAAGAAAAAAAAGTCTTGACCTTCTTCCTCACAAATGTAATCCTGTATCCTTTGACTAGCATGTCCCATTTCCCCTGTCCAGCCGTGCAGCCTCTGGGAGCCATCATTTTACTTTCTGCTTGCATGAAATCAACTTTTCAGCCTTAAGATCCGTCTGTATTTGTCCTTCTGTGCCTGACTTCTTTTACTAACATACTTCCTCCAGGTTTGTCCATATTTTCACAAATAAAGGGTTTCTGTCTTTTAAGTGACTGAATAGTACTTGATTATATGTATATACACCACAGTTTTGTTTTGTTTTGTTTTGTTTTTCTTGTTCCTTTTTTCTCGGTGGTACTGGGGGATTGTTTACAGGGCCCCATACCAAGCCACCACTGCCTCTGTTGTCTTAGATGTCCACTCATTTTCACAGGCTGTTCTCAAACATGCTCCTCCCTGTGTCAGCCCTCACACATGGCCACAGTTCCTTTATCCAGTCATCTGTTGATGGACATTTAGTTTGATTCCTTAAATTGGCTATTCTGACTACTGCTGCTATAAACATGAAAAACAAATGTCTTTTTGACATATTGATGTTTTTTCCTTTTGATGTAGGGACATCACTGGGTGATGGTTCTGCTTTTATCTATTCCATAACATTAATTCACATTCCCACCGACAGTATGCAAAGGTTCCTTTTTCTCCACATCCCTGACGACAGTTGTTATCTTTTGTCTTTTTTGATAATAGAAGTCTTGTAAAAAAAAAAAAAAAAAAAAAAAAAGTCCCTCTCTATCATCTCTGAAATTGCTTGCTTCATTAGCACACTTAAAAATCAATTCAGTTTTTATATGGAAATCCCATTCTTTTTATCCCTTTCACATTTAGAATTAGTTTTTAAATACAGGGTATAAAGATTTCAAGAAGGAAGGCCAATTATCTATTGATTGACTCTTAGGAAGAAAGAATGATTATCTGATAGAACTCAGAAATATATATAGCCAACTGTACACCTGCATGTATCTAACCAGCCATAGTAATTGTAATCAAACTTTGTCTCCCGCCCCGGGAGCAATAGATTAGCTATGACAGATTATGTATGACCTGAGTAATCATTATAAAGTATGCACATATAAATTGAACTTTCCAAAATCTGGGTCACTTGAACAAGAATGCTCTTTTGATAAAAACCAGCCTGACAATTAGATTCACAGGGCAGTTCACCATTAAATGATATTCTGACATTCTGGGTCATAAGGCAAAGTAAACAATACACTCATGTTAAAAAAAAAAAAAAAAAAAAACACAACAGAAAACTGTATTTATAGTAATAGCAAAGCTTTATGGTGCATGGTTTTACACTTTAATATGCTGTGTTCTGTTCTGCTGTGTTAATATTTTAAGTAATATAATTTACTTTTTATGTAGTTTCAGGTTTATCTCCTCTTTACCTCCCCTTTCTGGAGTAGCTTTCTGTCGTGTTGTTTCTTATGTCAGGAGAAATTCCTGAAAAATAGGAAGTAACAAAAATGGATTTAAGATTATCCAACCAAAACGCTATTTCATGTGCCTTACAGACTCAATCTGTGTCCCGGGTTTTGATCCAAACCTCAACATGATGAGTGGACTCACCCCCATTAACCCAATGATACCAGGCCTGGGGCTGGTACCACCCCCACCACCAACCGAAGTGGCCGTTGTTAAAGAAATAATTCACTGCAAAAGCTGTACTCTTTTCCCTCAAAATCCAAGTAAGTGACACCTGTGAGAAACATTTGTTCATCATTTTAAATTTATTTCCCTTTTATTTGAAATAGCATTGCATTAATTTTCAGATGTAATCCAAACAAAGGAAGGGGCTTTTGTATCTGTATTTGAGGAAGTGTACAGAGGTGTCTCCTTGTGTCTGTGGAGTCCCTGAGTGACCAAGAAGAGGCCAGGATGAGGGATTTGGGGATTTATGTCCAACATTAAGAATTTGTTTGCATGCAGTGAAGTCTAGCATTTCCTGGAGAACATAATGTCAGATATATAAGCACTTTCATCTATCTTCACAACTGTAGGAGAAAAACTGAAATATATTTGTTAGATGAAATTTGCATTAATTTGGCAGTTAGCAATTTGGGGGCAAGAGGGAGCCTGTGTCTCAGAATTTCTAATCTGAATTGTATTTCCTTGAAGGACCTATACATTCAATGAAGTAATTTGGCCAGAATATTTTAAATTTAACCTTAGATGCTAATTTTGGGGGTCTAAATAGCTAGGAGTTTTCTTTTCATTCATGTTAATCAGTGTTGCCTTTTGAAAGTGGACTTTTCAAGAGATTGCTTTAGTAATCTACATACAAACTAGGCAGGATGTTGTGACAGTGTAAATTTTATCTTTTTATAAAACCTCCCCCAAATTTAATGGTTTGCTCATTTAAATGCGAATAATAACAAAGCGATTTTTTCATGCACGGTATTTCACAGCCAAGTAAGTATTGTGTGTGCATCCTTAGGGTGTGCTTCCTTTGTTCCGCCTCACTGCTTCTTTATCTGGCAACAAGATAAAGCCAATAACAGGCCAAGCTCTTTCATCATGTTGTCATTTCATTGTGTTTTCTACCTTGTGAAAGCCCCCCCTTTTTCTTGGGCCTCCGTATTATGAAGGAGAAATGAAATTATGCTAACATGTGCGTTGTCTTTGTTCCTGAACAAGCACAGCCTCTCAGTGTAGAAGTAAACACAAAGAGGAAAGGTTGGGAGGAGGAGGGAGAGGAACCTAAAATACAGCTCAGAGAAAATCTAAGTTGGTACAGATGTAGAGGTCATTCTGCCCAGAGTAGGGGGCTGCAAGCTTGGCTTTTGCCAGCTGACCCAGAAAAGAGCACCAATCAATAAAAGACAAAACTCTCTATTTTGTTATGCTATTAGATCTTCCACCTCCTTCCACCAGAGAACGACCTCCTGGGTGTAAGACTGTGTTTGTCGGAGGATTACCAGAAAATGCTACTGAGGAAATTATTCAAGAAGTCTTTGAGCAGTGTGGTGATATTACAGCGATCCGAAAGAGCAAGAAGAATTTTTGTCACATTCGCTTTGCAGAGGAATTCATGGTTGATAAAGCCATTTACCTTTCTGGTACTTTGCATTACATAAGGGGTTTGCTAGGCATTTTGTCATGTTTTGTGATGTTAATAGGAGAATATTCCCTTTTGCCTTAATACACAGTAAAGTACTCATAGTTTGGAGGTGGAAAAGAAGGAACTCTGCCTTTTCCCGTGGCTGCCAGAGCTCTCTGTTCAGGCTGTGAATGTGCCTCACTGCAGGAATGGTTTCTCACCATCAGTCTTCAGGAATTCCATTGAGTTTATAATTAATGCTCTCAAGTGCTCATTAGATGAAAAGCAATATTATGAGTACTGAGGACCATTATTATTATTGGATGTAATCCTCTGGGGGAGTAAAGTACTCTCTCAGAATAATTTTAGTTTGTAGAAGTGGATTTACTTTCTCAGTACCAGAATACCAAAGCAAGAAGAGTTCCTCACAGGCAAGTACACAGTTCATGGGCCCTTTGATAAGAACGAATAGCACTGCCCATTTGGTAGTTCATTAAGCCTGCTTAGCTGGCCTTGTTCTTTGGTACCAATTTTTGTGGGAGAATTTTATAGATGTTGAAATTGGGCCTAATGCTGCCTTCCTCTCTGTGGGTGTTGGAACATGCGTATGGAGTCTGTCAACAAGGCCTTCTCCAGCTCTATAAATAATGGAGTTGGTGTTGAAATGTGGCTTTAAAAGGGCCTACTTTTTAGATTCAACTCATTGCCTTTCCTTCATTCTTTCCAGTGACATTTTTTAGACCCTCCACATACCACCTCCATATTCCTGAGGTGTAGCCAATAAGGAAAGGTAGACACATTATATAAAAAAAAACCACATGTGACCATTTTTGCAGGCTTGACTTAGTATCTGTAGCCAATATCCATTACTGTGACATTCTGTGCAGAAGCCTGGAGGTTGTCTTAATACATTCAGAAACATTCCTGAACTAGATAGCAATTTGGAGTGCTTCAGAACCCTTGTTCCAGTAAAACCTTACAAAAAGAAACAAAGTTTGAAATCATTCCATGGTGGAGATGGAAGACAGACCTGGAAAAAGGACATTTTGCAGTTCACACAAGCTATTAGGTCACTAGGGACTTGGAAAGTTCAGAGCACTGGGTTTCATATGCCCTGACCCTGATAACCTCTCTCCATCTCTGCACTCTTATCCAAAGTATGGAAATACGTGCAGTTCACCAACTGGGCCTGTTAGGAAAGTTATCTCACGTATGAGATACTTGGTAGCTGGCAGTTATGTAGCATAGTTACAACATAGAAACCATTCAGTACATGGTTGTTTTACCAGTACAGGTGGCCTAGGCACGGTAAAGGATTCTTATTTCTCAGCAAACCTTGTCCCAGATACCTGAGTTCTAATCACACATCTGTCAAAAACAAATAAAAAAGCTATAATTCTGCTCCATATGATTCAGTGAGAGAGTTAAAATAGCTTAAAGGTTACAACCTTTTGGTCCACTACTTGGATTAGAACCCAGTACCTACACACTCAGTTACATCCCCATCCCTTTTAAAGGTTTTTTTTTAAAGATAGTCTCACCAAGTTGTCCAGGTCAGACACAAACTTGGGATTCTCCTGCATCAGCCTCTTAGAGTTCAGCAATTATCTACCATAACCAGCTCAAAGTACTTTTCAACACTGATATATCACAATTTTTAGACCCATTGTCAAATTCAGTAAGACAGAGGAAAAGTTGAATAGTCACAAATTGGAGCATATGAAAGAGCTTCCTTCTACTTCTGCCTTGATCCTACACTTTTTTTCTTCCTGAGTCGTTGGCCTGGCCTGCTCCTTTCTGCAAGCTCCTGATGGCTTCTTCTCAGTCCACCCCTTCATGGCAAGAGGAAGCCCCAGTACAGGCCTCACTTGCACCTCCCCACCTAGGTACAGATGTGTCTCCAGCTGTGTCCTGGATGCCCTGTAGGCTGCAGCCTCAGTGCTGGTACTGTAACAGGCTGACTCACTGGAGGGGCAGGAAGGACACTCACTGCCCTGCGTAGTGTGCACTCCTGTGAGCCCAGGCCCAGCTGGAAAGCCTATCTAATTTTAGGAACATGTTCACATGTGAAGGCCAAGCTAATTTCAGTCTCATCGTCATCAAGGTCTCTTTAAGGCCTTAATGATGATGTTTGATGAAGGGGAGGGTGCTTGTGGAATGAGAAATGTCTAAACAGTGATGCTCTGGGCATGAACAGGGAGAAGTTGCCTGGCCAGTCAGGACAGCTGGCCTGCTCATTCTGCTCAGCTGTTAGATATGTATCACCATGGCCTGCTGACTTGCTAGCTTTCCATGGCCAACTACCAAGACACGATTTGCTTTAGCATCAATTCTGCTCATCTATCAGCAGCTGTTGTATTTTTGATCAGTTTTGTAATGTCTTTTCATTTTCAGATAACACCTAGGAGGCAGAAGGGTTCAATGACATGCAGGCATCAGATGTGAGATCTACATCTTATTTGTAACTTTTCAAAGGTGTGAAGTGCCTTACTGGGGAGAAGCCAACCTCTATAGGGATTTTCAGCTATGTTTTTAACCCAAAATGCTGCGATAATCTATTGAAGCCTACCATGAGATCTTGAACATCAGCGCAGCACAGCCTAACATTTTACAGTTGGATTTCATTTGCAAAGTCCCTACATAGCAAAAGGACTTATTCTGCTCTCTGCTCTAGCAGCCCCTGGGAGCTATGTTCCTGCTGAGTCCTGAATTTATGTTGTGAAAATCTGAGTACCCCAAAGTGAAGAGCAACCTCAAAGTCATTTTAGGTTCATTTGAAGTTAAGGCTAGCTGGCTGGCTTTAGTCCTGTACTGATTTCTCAGATCAGGTTTCTGCTCATATTCATGTAAGTTAGATGGCTCACAGTAAATAACCCAGAGATTTCTAGGCCCTACTTTTTCCATCTATTGCTAGGCTCTTGCATGGAGCCCCTGTGTCCTTTAAAGACTGCATGGACGGTTTTTATGATGCCATAGGCCAGGTGAGGTGCTAGAGGGCCATGAGGAGGTAGTAGTAGGTAAACTATTCTTCTTATGCCCCAGATAATAAGTGGAAATAAAATAGTATTGAAAACATTTTTTAGTAATTGTGGCTTTTGCAGCTGATGGGAGAAAACTGAGGAGCAGCATTTTCTAAGGGATTGAAACAATAACCTATGAGTGGGGTGTTCTGGAATTTACTTGGTAGATTCTTTTAAATATCATAGGTACTGTTTATTACCTATATATACCCTACCTTTTTAAAATAGAACTTAAGAGAACTTTTTCAATAGAGTCATACATAGTAAATTGAAAATATGAAATCAAGGACATAAAATGTAGAGCAAAACACTATATGTTACTCGCCAAGTTTGTTTCTGAGCTGCCTGGAAGCCAGAGGGAAGAAGAAAGTTATCATGATAATCCTAGTTTTTAAGATCACTCTCTGTTGGTGATATTGGCTTGGACATGGTCAGAGACCCTCCAAGGTACCTCCCTGAGGAATGTTTATCCTCAAAGCTGTGAAAGGCTTGATTCAACTGCATTTCAAGATGGATGAGAATGAGGTTAAATGCTTCCCACCTCCTATGAGAAAGGTGTCCTGTCCTGAGGCAGAAGAAACAAGTGAGCATTTGCCTAACATGAGGTGATGCCTGGGCTGACATGGACCTCTACCTTTCCACTGCTTTCAGGTTACCGGATGCGACTAGGGTCTAGCACAGACAAAAAGGATTCAGGTCGCCTTCATGTAGACTTTGCCCAGGCCAGAGATGACTTCTATGAGTGGGAATGCAAACAGAGGATGCGTGCCCGTGAGGAGCGGCACAGGCGCAAGCTGGAGGAGGACCGGCTCCGACCGCCCTCCCCACCAGCCATCATGCACTACTCAGAGCATGAGGCTGCCCTTCTAGCCGAAAAGTTGAAAGGTAGGTCTGAAGCCCATTATGCGTGCTTTTCCTCCTCTATGTTAGCCACCATTGGCTGAAGGAAAGCCAGGTCCTCAAACACCAAAGCCCTGTTTGTCTTGTCCTGTTCACACCCTTTTCATGTGAGTAATAGTGGCTTTGAGGCTGTAGCCACCTGGGCGGCCATTGTTAACCTGCTGAGGACAGTCTGGCCTTTTCGAGCAACCTCAGCTGTGCTCTCCATGGATATGTGTGTCCTGACACACAATAAAACTCAGTGAATGAGAGGGCAGAAGTGGACAGCAACAGATCCAAAAGGCTGTTGTTGTCTGACCTGGTGTTCATTGAACCAGGGAAACAACACCACTAGAAGGTTCCTAGTGTCCTCAGAGCCCTGGGGAGTCCTCAGGGCCAAAGATTCTTACAGCTTTCCTTAGGTATGTAAGACTCTATGCAAGATAAACATGATTTTTCCCAAGATAAAGTAAGATAATGTCATTCTAAACAGAGTCTGGAGGCTTAGGAATACAGCGCTACAGGAAGCAGAGAGGGATTTGGCACAGACTTTGCATTTCTTGAGCAAAGTGAAGCTGGAAAATTGGTCTGGGCAAGATGGTGGAACCTGCAAGGCTGTTGCTGTATTTGGATTTTGTTGCGTAGACTGTGGAGAGACCATTACAGATTTCTGATAAGAGGAGGCTTGTAACTGGTCCTGAGAGTGTTTTAGAGCCTAGCTGGTGTATTGTAGACAGTGTCTTAAGTGGAGTGAATGTTTTCATATAAAAAGCATCTCAACACCTATTTTAGGAACATGGGAAAATTCTGTGCTTTATAACGAAACTATCTTCTAGCCCTCACTCTGTCTGGCTTAGGCACCCCTGAGCAACCGTTATTCCCACCAAATGTCCCTTTTATAAGCCAAGGTATTCAATGTACATGTTCTGCTGCTCTGGAAAGGCATGTTGTACAGGTGTAAATTCTCAGTCAATGCTGTCCCTTCATAAAATAAAAACACACAATGCAAATACAGACATCATCTTACCACTTCACTCAGTTGTGACACCATAAGGAGTGTGCAAAGTGAGGAGTAACATTCTCAGCCAGAAGTGCTCTTGAAACCATTTTTCTCTAATGCTCAGGGCACTGCATGGGCTCCCCTTGTGATCTACGTGGCCTGCACTCCATTTCATCATGTGTACACCTGGAAGTAACAAAAGTTAACACCTTGGTTCTGTAACCTTGTGGAGGAATTTCATGAAAGCTCAGCATCTACATTATGTTATTTTTAAGAAAGGGGCGCAGAAGTGTCTATGCGTGTATGAGATACATAGCATTTGCCTCTCCTTTCAGAGGTTAGCAGATTGGGATGTCAATTTGGTAGAGTAATTTGCAAGCCTTGCCATTTCAAAAATATATATATTTATATAGATGAGTATAATTTGCAGAATTCAGAAAGCTGTACCTTTGCCAAGTACTGTGTGATCCCTTGAGGAGAGAACAGATTGGAAATTTTAATAGATGGCTGTTACAGTAGAGTGAACTAGCTGAGGATACATCTTAGGCAAGAGTCAGGTAATATCAAGCTTGACAATCTCAACCCAAGCACAGAGTTTGGAATATAAACAGCATTTAATTGCTTAGGAAATTGGCTGCCTCGGAGAGGAAATCCACTCCATGCTCCTTATAACACTGCAATGCCAGACGGGGTGAGCCAAGGAAACTGTTTCCTAGAAGATGAATTCTTTGATGTGGGGTACAGAAACCCATGTTAGAAAGGCATGAAAATGTAATCTGAAAATACCTAATTGGATTTGATTTTTTTCTCTCTTGAGCAGTCTTGTTATCTTAGGTATATTATAGGCATTTTGCATCATGCTTATTTATTTTTAGTTTTCTTTATGAAGATCACATTTATTCACCATAATGTGTACAAGCCAAGTCTTCATTGTGATTTGTAAGATTTTTCAGGTCCTGTACACTGTTAAAATTGCACATAGTAGGTCTTAAATTAACATCTTTCCATCTTGTCCAGCTACCTAGATTGGGCATGACTGGAAAAGTAGTGATGTGTACTCAGCCATCATCATAGCCAGTCAAAAAGTATTTATTGGTCCCTGTACCATATGACCAGCACTTACTAGGCACTGCAGAAGAAAAAATAACACTCTGCTGCACAGGTTTCTTAGGTGATAAGAGTAGTAACAAATCCCCTTGTACTTACTACTTATAATAGTGGAGAAAAAAGGGAAAAT